AATGGCACCATCATTAATAAATCTGTAAAAGATGTCGGATATGCAGACGACATAGACAATATTTCCAAATCCACAGAATATCTGTTAGAAGCATTACGATCATTAAGGGCGTCTGCACTGAGAATGAGATTAAAAATAAACGCACAGAAAACCAAGTATATGTATTGTACTAGATCAGGCAACTAGATACCTAGACTGTTAATTGATGATCTGGAACTGGAAAGTGTGGACACCTTCATCTACCTGGGTTCGCTGCTGACCAAAGACAACAGGGTCAGCGAAGAAATTAAAAGAAGAATAGTGCTTGCGAATAAGTGCTATTATGGCTTGAGGAAACAGATGGCCCCAATAGTACTGAATCCACTTCTGAAGCTAGCTTGCCCTCTCGGTTGTGCAGAATCTAATGCGTTTGTTAATCGGTTGTTGATGATCGTTGTAAAACGAAGTATTCTGATTTAAATTTTACTTTTTTGATAATCATTTAATTATTGCTAGCAAAAGATTTTAAAATTTTGAAAAACGACTCAGATTATCAAGGTGCTTGGACACCCCTGGTATACTCTATATATTATTATAAATATTAACCTATTTTCTCCAAAATAGCCTTTTTGAAAAGTTCTTGCTGTCACATACTGAATATTTATATATTGGAATTTTTATCCATCATGGGTTATATATTTTTAGCCTATCTTTGTTTATTATGTATTAATTAGTTTGTGTCTTAACCCAGGTATATAATTTTTTCTAAGACATCTTACATGTTATGAAACTGTAGTCACATAATCAAAGTTCTCACTCTTTTATACAAACATTATTGTCTTCAAATAATTAAGTTATTATTCTCCTGTTATTAGAATTAAGAATTTAGAATTGTTTTACATTATTAACTAATTCCTACGTTTGAATTTAAACCCTAAATACGTCGTAAAACCTACAAAGTTGTGAATAACTTTTGTTAGTTACTTGAACTGAACTTACCTATATATGCAGATCATTAGCAGACGATTCCTTCGTACCACCATTAATTTCAAGGAAAAGAACTGGGTCAGTATTAAACATTGGCGTCGACGTAAAGAGTAAATGAGTTAAGAATGTATAGATAATTTGTATTTTATCCAGTGGCATCTCATAATGGGGAAAGCTATGCCTTTTGGTTAATAATATGATTTGAGATAAATTTATTAATTATTCTAAAGAATATTGTAACATGTAACAATAAAACACTGAAAACTTTGTTTTCAAACTTCCACAAAAATTATTTTAACTTATCACTACAGCTGTTTCGGTTGATTGCCTTTCTCAAGTGATCTATTTGCATTTGGAATGCTTTTACATTCTATAGTTTCTAATGAAATAGGTTGAGGAGGGGAGAACTGTTTGTCTCAAATTGGTCATTCAGAATTATATCTGTGTTTTTTAATTTGTTGATTTCCATAGATTCTAACAAGGATAGCTTAAGGCCTTTATTTTGAATGTGAAGAATTTTAAATTCGTCATTAAAAGAATGATTGTGATCTAGAAGGTGAAGTGCATATGTAGAATCTGTTTTGTATTATTGAAAGCCTTTTTATGTTCTGCTATTCGTTTATTGAAGTTTCTACCAGTTTGACCGATGTCAGTTTTTGGGCAGTCGCCACATTTAAGTTTGTACACACCACTGTGTAAATTTTTTTAATTTTGGCTCTTGTTGTTTTCGATATATTTGCCTAGGTTGTTATTTGTTCGAAAAGCTGGTGTTATTCCTTTCTTTTTTATGCGTTTGGCTTTTTGAGTTGATATTTTGCCTGTATATGTAATCGAGCAGAAGGTTGTGGGTTTTTTCTCTCGTGGCGGAAATACTAATTTAAGGGCTTTCTTGTGTAGTTTTTGATTTAACATTTTATTAATTGTTTTTTCGTTGTATCCGTTGTTTACTGCTGTTTGCTTGATGATATTTAATTCTGTCTCAAAGTTGTATTTTGATATCGGAATTTCTGTTAATCTATGTAACATACTATGATGGGCTGCCAGTTTATGTTGTGTTGGATGGGATGATGAATAGTGTATACTCGTGTCAGATTATTATTTACTATTCTTCCGTTTACAGAAATTTCATCTACCAGATCCGCTATCGCTTCCTGGAATATGGCTTCACTATATATGTTAAACAGTAATGGTGACAGAACACAGCCCTGTCTTACTCCTCTCTTTATATCTAAGTTTTCGGACTTTTGTTTTTCTATCTTTATATTGGTCTATTGATTCCAATACAGATTGATAATGATTCGTAAGTCTCGTCTGTCTATATCTTTGTTTCTCAGTATTTCTATTAGTTTTTCATGTCGGACCCTGTAGAATGTCTTCTCGAAGTCGATGAAACAGAAGTAAATATCTAGGTTCATATCTAAGCACCTTTGAGAGAGAACATTAAAAGCAAACAATGCCTCTCTCGTTCCCAGTCCCTTGCGGAACCCAAACTGAGTATCAATCATATCCTCTTCTAGTTTTCTATATAATCTTCCATGAATCACCTTTAGAAATATTTTGAGGGTATGGCTTATTATTGATATTGTCCTATAGTCTATACAATCTTTGGCATATAATGTTTTTGGTATTGCTACAAAGGTGAATGGATACCAACCATTCCTGTGGGATTTTTCCAGTTTTATATACTTTATTAAATAGGTCCAGAAGTACAGGTAGAGTTTCATTGTCTAGACATTTCAGTAGTTCCGCAGGTATTTCGTCTGGATCTACAGTTTTTCAGTTTTTACGTTTCGTATTGCTTGTTCGATTTCCTCTATTATGATCTCTGGCCCCGTTTCGCTGTCGATTTCTTCCGGTTCTTGTCGATTATCCTCAAACAGATCTGTTATGTATGTCTTCCATTTTTTAATTTCCTTTAATTTCTATAATGATTTTTCCATTTGCGTCTTTCAGAAGCGCATTTTTCTGTTTTCTCAGTATATTTGTCATTTCCTTTATTTTCTTATGCATGTTAAAGCTATCATACTGTTTAGCATATGCCTCTATTTCACTGTATTGATTAGCAAGCCATGAGGATTTGGCCTCTTTTATTTTCTTTCCTATCAATCTCTGTAGTGCCTTATATTATGTCTTACTCCTGCCTTTATGTTTCCTTCTTTCCTCCATTAGATCTAAGATTTCTGAAGTCATCCATCTCTGTTTTTTTTATTTTTGTCTGCAGCAGCTTTTCTCCTGCGTTTATTAAAGTTTCCTGTACCATGTTCCATTTGTCATTAACATCTGTTGTTTTTATCACGTCTTGTTTGATTTTCTTTAAGTTATCATTTATTTCTTGTTTTAAGCTCTGACGTATAGGTTCTTCTTTTATCTTTGAGACCTCAAACCGTGGTATAGTTGTTTGTTTTTGGATCTTCTTCAATTTGATCTGCACTACGCCTACTAATGAATTATGGTCTAAATTTATGTCAGCTCCGGGACTTGTTCTTAGAGACTTCATAGCGTTTTTATATCTAGATTTTATTAAAATGTAATCTATCTGGTTTCGAACAATGTTATCTGCTGAATCCGCAGGTGATTTCCAAGTATAAAGTCTTCTTTTAAGTAATTTAAAATTTGTATTCATTATTACCATCTCCTCGGATAATAGTTTTTGGATACCTGTAATACTAAAAAGACTATCCCTAAGGACGATACTTCTTCAATTTTATCTGCATTACGCCTACTAATGGATTATGGTCTAAATTTATGTCAGCTCCGGGATATGTTCTCAGAGACTTTATAGCGTTTTTATATCTAGATTTTATTAAAATGTAATCTATCTGGTTTCGAACAATGTTACCTTCTGAATCCGCAAGTGATTTCCAAGTATAAAGTCTTCTTTTAGGTAATTTAAAATTTGTATTCATTATTACCATCTCCTCGCATAATAGTTTTTGGATACCTGTAATACTAGAAAGACTATCCCTAAGGACGATACCTATTGTAAAACGACTACAGAAGTCAGCCGTTTAAGACATCTCAGTCATACGGCACCCCACGTTGGGCGCCATGTCTCTGCTGAACCGGCGAAAAGGCCAAAACAGCTAGTATCATTGGTATAGCGTTCGTGTAGTTTTTCTGTTTTATAGCTCAATTTAACAGGGAACTCCTTCGGGTTTAAAATGAGAACAAGTTACTTAGAGATCAATAACTGACCTCAACCCGTTCAGGACTGCTTGACCAGATTTCGAAACTATGCCAATTTGTGGAAGTAATGAAATTTTCCTGAACCTAAATGAGTACTTTAAGCCTCTATTAGTCGATCTACAAATGTTTATTTAGTTATACCTCATTTACACCTTTTGTCTTGCCCTAAATATCCATCAAACGTTTCCTCTTACCCATTTTGACACCATGTACTGGGGATAAGAACTTTCCTTTCATAGTCTGTCCTGCTCGGAGTAGTTAATGCAGATCTTAGACTCACTATCTGAAATCGGCACAGATCGTATGCTTTCTTTTACCTTAGTCTTTGATTACATAATGTTGGATCCTTTGAAATAATATATATGTTCATAATAGTCAGTTTTACTTTTATATTAAATTTTACTAGCTAACACATTTTAATAATTTAAACTAGTATTTCATTGTTAAACATACTAGATTATCAGGATATTTTTTGTAGTCACCACAAACTTCACATTTCAAAAATATTCAATATTCTTAACGATTTTATTTTAAAGTATAAGTCCCTACTTAATGTGAATCTTGTTTGCCTTTATATTTTTTAACTTCTTAATTCTTTATATTTTCCTTAAGCCTATTATTATTAAAATCTTCTGTTAAATGTTTATAATTTTAAATCTAACATATTATATAGATGTAGCCAATTTATTGTTAATCCCTCCGCCACTGTACTGTCTCTAGGTACTAGACTCCGACATCCTGAACTTCCTAATCATCAACGCCGTCTCTTCGGGCGCCTATAACATGATCTTCGTCAGTCAGTCACCACTATCATTTTTTTGTCTTATCGATAATATTTTTCTTTTCAGGAGTACTACAAGTACCGCACGTACCATTTCGAGACTCACCAGTCGTTTTGATGATGTTGAAAGAGCGTGATAACGCGTCGTCTCCTTGCTCGAGCTTAGGTGGTTCCTCTGGGATTGAAGCTTCGTCTTGTGCGGGATGCGGAGAGCGGATCCACGATAGGTACTACCTCTTGGCCGTTGACAGACAGTGGCATGCGTCATGTTTGAAATGTTGCGAATGCAAGCTGCCTCTGGATTCAGATTTGACGTGCTTTGCGCGCGACGGGAATATTTATTGTAAAGAAGATTATTACAGGTGAGTACGATTATACAGAGTGGGAAAAGGCTGATATTGAATATGTGTATGAATATGTATGAAAATAGCAAATCTTTCAGTCTTTATAAACGTTGATATCACATATTTTGCCACAAAAATAAATAAAATTTAAAGATACTACGAAATGAAGCTTTATAAAAGTTACTTGTCAAATGTGTGTCAAATTAATATTCTGTTGATAAGGACTGAAGTTTAAAATAATGTATTTTAAATATGTAAGATGTCCTAATAAGGTACTTGAAAAAACTTTAATATACACTATACACTTTTTAGGTTATTTTAAAAGCTATAAAGTGGTGTATATTCAATTTTTTTAAGCCCTTAATTTGATGGGTTGTGCTGAAAGGGCTTAAAGATGGTGCTAAACGTAAGTGAATAGAGCCGTTAATAATATCTCGTTTAAATTTTAGTTTATAAAAATAAAAAAAATCAAAATATTTAGTTACAAAGCTGTTTTTTGTATTTTTCCATTTTTTCTGTATCTTTTTTTAGTTCTTTAGTTATTTTAGTATAGTCCAGTTGCTGAGGGTTTTTACCTCCGAATTCTTTATAACTGAATCGATTCATTTGAAATTTTGTGTGTTGGTAAATAATTACTCAAGGAGGAACAAAAGTTCCTATGGTGCCGATGTGTGCTTCCACCCTGGGGGTGTTTGCCACCCCTTTTCGAGGGTGAAAATTTTTTTACTCAAAAAAATAACGGTATTCGATAGAGGGATAAATTTCTAACAAAAAATGCATAAATCATTATTTTCGCTAGATCAATATTTTTTGAGTTATTTGCTGTTGAAAAGTGTCATTTTTCGTTAAAAAAAACATGTTTTTCAAAAGTTTTTTTAGGAATAGCTCTGAAACTAAAAGTTTGATCAAAAAAAGTGTAAGGACTAAAATAAAGCTCATAAAAAAACAAAAAGATTGGCTTTTTAATAAATGTTTTCAGTTTAATATTAACTGAGTTATGGCTGTTGAAAGAAGGTTTGTTTTTGTTTTTGTCTTTCAATACCAGTATTTAACGTTAAATAACGGAAAACGGGTACATTTTTCGACAAAAATTTATATCATATTTTTAAAAGTGCTTGAAAAGACCTTTAAAGTGAGTGGTGGTAAAAGTCCTTTGCAGCAACTGTAGGTAAGATACGATCAAAAAAACGATGGGTTTCTCAATTTTTTGTAAAAAAATACAATAAAACTAACGTCATGTTCACTAGGATTAAAATAAATTGTTTTCCTTATACAATTTACTTTATATTAATGCTATTTGTATAATCCAAAAGTTTAGCCACTTTAGAATACCCAGTTTTTAAAAAAAGTATGATAAGTACATTTTTTTTTGTAAATATTAATTTTTTTTTATAATAACTTCAAAACTATAAAAGATACGTAATAAATGACACAATACAAAAAATAGGTTTTTGTTTCAACAAAAATTTCATTTTATAGTTTTTTTTGTAGCTTAAAAAATAACGAAGATAGAGTTGGTTGAAGTTTGCTTTATAGCGCATGAACCACTGGTCTCCGACCCTTTGACCCTTCACCCTTTAAACATGAAGGACTTTAGAATGTTTTAACATTCCTATACTTATAGCCCGTTAAATTACCTGTAAAATCGTTTTTTATGCATGTTGTAGCATCAAAATTTACCGAGTTATTGTGAAAAAACCAATGGTACTTTTTAGAATAAATTTTGGAGCATGAAAAAAGTTTATAATTTGGAGCATTGGACAAGTTCGCTAAACTTCCCGTGCTCGAATCGGTATCAATAAAGTGTTATGATCATTTCGGCCTATCCCAGCCTCATCAGACACTTGGGCTGATACAAATTCGACTCGGAAAGTCCAACGAATGTCTCCCAAAACTTCACTACAGCGTAGTTAGCTTACAAAGGCGCCCCCTGATTTGGCGGCCGTGAACTAAACGATATGATAATATCGTTTTCTGTATCCTTTGTGCTATGCGAAATGTGTAAAAGATTAATTTTTTTTAGCGAAAGCCGGTATCGCTTTATTATATTAAATAGCCAAATATATGGAGTAGGAGGACAAATTCGCTAAACTTCCCGTGCTAGAATAGGTATCAATAAAGTGTTATGATCATTTCGGCCTATCCAGCCTCATTAGAGACTTGGGCTGATACAAATTCAAACTCGGGAAGTTTCTCAAATAGTTCGTTGTTCCGTTGTTTTCGTTTATTTGGAACCCCATCTTCTCTGCTTCCTTCTCGGACCTCACGAAAGTTTCCTTTATTCTTAATCGTGTTTCCTATTAGATCCATGTCGTCTGCAAATGCCAGTAGTAAGTTTGGTCCTTCTCGATGAAATACTGTATTCGGTTTTTCGATTCTTGTACCACAGAATAATAAACAATCAGAATGTCCACTCTCAGATGCCGCCTTTGAAGTTTTTCAGCACGCGCGCCATGTTTTAGAAGGAAACACATAACACAGACATATAATTTGTGAGGTTATGTAATTGTGTATATTTATGTTTAATTATATTATATTTATATTATTATATTTAACAATGTTAATATTATAATTGTGTAGTATATCTATACACCACATAAACAAAACTGGTTCCCTCTAAAACATGGCGGAACGTCTGCGCGAAGGAGATGCGCGTACTTAATTTTCCATGGAGAGTGGGCATTCTGATTGTTTATTATTCTGTGCTTGTACTTCTGATTGCGTGTTCCAGAGTTAAGTTGAAGAGTTGCGGTGAAAGCGCATCTCCCTGTTTTAGTCCGTTGTTTATTTTAAATGTCTCCGAGTATTGTTATCCAACTCTCACTTTACATCGTAACCGTCCCATACACATCCGTATCAACCTGACTAGTTTTTTTGGAAAGCCAAATTCCTGCATCGCTGTCCACAGTCTGTCCCTGCATACTCTATCAAATGCTTGTTTAACATCTATGAACATCTGATAAAGCTCACGATCAAACTCCTAGCATTTTTCCACTATCTGTTTTATTGTGCATATCTGGTCAATAGTAGAGCGGCCCAGTCTAAATCCGCATTGATAATCTCTAACGATTCCTCCTGTTTATGTTTTGGTTCTTTCTAGCAGGATGTTTGCAAGGATTTTGTAGGTGGTTTGTTGTATCCCAATTCTAGATAAATCATGTACTTGTAATATGTACGTTTCATTTTAATTCTTCTTCTTCTTTAAGTAGCTTGACGTCCAAGAACATTGGCGACCAGTCTCATTACATTTACTTTTTCCGTAGCAAATCTAAATAGTGTCGTAATGTTTATGTCAGACTACTGAGATAGCAACTTGAGTGAGGATTTGTTTTATTTTTCTAATTTCACTAAATTTCTGTTTTCCCTAAATTTACATATCGTAGTCTATATTTCGGATTTCTCATCGAGTTGACAAAGGATTGTAATTATCTTCTTTTACGATATTTATTATCTCCCTTTCTTTATTTAGACATTCTAAAATTGCTTGGTTCGTCAATTTGTCGGTCCATTATTTCACTAACATTCTATGGTAAAACCAAATCTTGGAAGCCCTAATTATTTTACACATTGATTTAGTGAATGTCCAATCTTCTATTGCTGAAGATTTTTAATGCTGAAGATTTTACAGCGGAATAAACGTATTCTGAAGGTAAGTCTTGCTGTTTTGTTGGTTATTATGTTTTGAATCTTGGCTTGCTATATCCCGCTTTTAAATTCCTGAGATACCAAAATCTCATTCTTCCATTTCTAACAACCTAAGTATTTATATGCTAAAACTCGTTTCACTGTTTCTCTATCTATCTTGATGTGAGTTAAGTTGTTGGCTAGATTTTTGTTTTTGCTAATGGATATCTAGTTGGTTCTCTTTTTTTTTTAAACCCATCGTTTTTTTCTTCTTATTTGTGCTTCTCAAATCCAAAAGATCTCCATTATCACCAGAGCTAAAGTTTATTATATTTTCTGTCCACTATTATTTTTCACATCCAGTCTAGAATTTAGTAGCATATAGAAGTTTGTACAGATCTTTAACTTGGGGTATGCAAATATCGCAGGGTTTCCTCTTGGTTACCCATTTTTGAGGTTTTTGTCTTGCTAAGTTCAGCACCTCGCAAGGAGAGTCTGCAGTTATGATCTTCTCATTGTATTTGTCTATTTTATTTAGGAAAACTCTTACTGATGCATGACCAGTCAACATTTCCATTACTGTTCTTAGTTTATTCCTGTCCATATGGAATATGGAGAGTATTCCTCTGTTTTCTTATACATGTTTCACCAATGAAGATTTTCCCATGTGTTTGTTTTGAGATTCTGATACTCCCAAGATCACATTTGATTCGTTTGATTTGTTTGATCCTTTGTAGCAAATTGATCTGCTTGCCTTTTATCTGTAACACCCTGATGATTCGGTACCCAGACAAGACTAATCTTGTCAGGTCTCCCAGTTTATTCAGTTCTTCCTGACGTCCTATGAGTCTTGACGTCACTTCCTGATATACCAGTACCTTTAGTGCGTGACTGTCGGACAACATATGGATCTGCTCTTAGGCTCTATCCGCTTTTAAAATGGTGCAATTCCTATCCAAGTATTTTTGGAGTATAATGATGCCCCTATTTCCTTTCCAGTCCTGAATCCGTCTGTGTACTAGATGTTACCCTACTGTTTGTGATCTCTCTATTTGTCCATAAATTCCTGTTTGGAATAGACATCATGTATGAGTTCTTAAAGTTGTAACTTTTTATCATCTGATCCGATTTCACATTAAAGATATCCTTCGTCATTTGTCTAAAGTCCTTGTTTGAAGTATCTTAGTCTACCATATTGTTGAGCATTGGTAATTGGAAACACTACACTGCTTTTTATTTTTTCTATAGCCAAGTTTTGACTCAAGTATAATTTCGAGATAGTCTAGTTCTTTCTTTAGCTGAATTTTTTGTTTCCTAAAGTTTACTGGACTTGAAACACTCTAATTTCCGTCTACATGTGAAAGTTACTATACTGGATTTGGTGGGACTTAAAT